AAAATAATAATAATAATAATGATGATAAAAGAATATACAAAATAGGTGATGCACAATGCAATTGCTCACCACTCGCTGACCGATGCCCAGCCAGCTCCCGAGCAGCAGTCGCTGCCCCCTGGCCAACTCCCCCCAGTTTATATACTGAGCATGATGTCACATGGTGTGGAATATCCCTTTGGCCAGTTTGGGTCAGCTGTCCTGGCTGTGCCCCCTCCCAGCTTCTTGTGCACCTCCAGCCTTCTCAGTTGGTAGAGCATGGGAAGCTGAAAAGTCCTTGACTTTTCAGTAGTGCTAGTAAGTAGTGCTAGTAAGCACTACCTAGCAACAACTAAAACATCGGTGTGTTATCAACTTTGTTCTCATACTAAATCCAAAACACAGCACTGTACCAGCTACTAGGAAGAAAATTAACTCTACCCCAGCCGAAACCAGGACACAAATTGAATTCATTTACAGGAACAACTTCTATGTGCAGGCCTGTGCTTGCGTTTCTCCAAGATCTTTGACAGGCTCGGAAGTGTTACACTTTTTTTTGTTCTTTCTGTGATCATGCTTGCTTTGTGGAGCTGGCTTGTCTTTTGGGTCCCATATGGTCCCTCATAGTTTAATACAGTGGGCACTGGGCTTGGTGATGAAGTTTGGAACTTGAGAAACCAGAGTAGGGGCAGTGATATGTGAATTCCTTATTGTAGCTACAAATGTAGAGCAGCCATTATGGGCCAGACCAGCAGTTCAGCTAGTCAAGTACCTTGGCAGCAACCGCGACCATGAGTAGGCACCGAGGGAAGGGTACATATGAAGCAAATACATATGATCATTCAAACTTCAAGACCTCAAGTATTTTTAGCTCAAGATGTTTCCTGAGCAGGAGGATACTTCTTTCTGGTTAATAACCCTCAGTGGATTTGTCTTCTGAGTACTCATCCAGCTTCTCCTTGAATCCTGTAGACTTTTCCCTCCCAGGACCCTATGCCACAGATGGGCCGTGCACTGCAGGAAGGGCTGTGGGTTGATCTTAAACTCTGGAGCCAAAATATCTTGTTAGCCAAATGGTATCCATGATCTGAAGAGTCTGGTTATTTACATCTGTTCCAACTGCCCTCAACTAGTATGCTGTTATGACGGCTGCTTTTACATGGAGATTGACTGCTTTTGCACAGCAGAAAAACTCAAGCCTAGGGAACAGCAGTGAGTATTTGTGTAGAGAAACATACCCTGCATGCCAGCAACTGTAGCGCCTTCTACCAACCATAAAACAAGCTACAGGAACCTGGAAGACTTGTTAGCGAAAACTTGGATGCTCTCTGTGAATTCCCAGTGCTCCTCTCGTCTAGCACTCCTGTTCTTAATGTCCGCTTGAGATTCTCTGAGCATTTGCAAACAAAAGCAAGTAAAACCTCTCAGTGCTCCTTGAAAGCTAGGAATTGCCACCATTCCCATCTCAGGTGGAGAAATCTGGAGAGGTTTGGCCACCCCCAAACTCTAGGATGCAACACAGTCAAGAATCCAGACATCCTAACTATCGCTCTGGTCACTGAATAGTACATTTCTGTTCATTCTTGCCTTTGACCAAAGGAATGTAACCTACACATCATTATGTAGCCATATTTCTCAATTGCACTAATTGAACTAGATATTAATTATATCTAGATAGATAATATATGCTATATAGTATAGCATATATTAATTGCTGTCTGGGGAGCTGGTCTGTTTTTTCATTATTTTATTCTTGCTGAAGGCAAATGAAACGTTTTTGTTCCCTGTTCTAAGCAGGCAAGTAGATACTGTGCTTGAACTGCTGTGTTATTTTGCAAACCTAGGTTAGCACGCTAACCTAAGCATGCTAACACACATATTACTTACACTGTGCGGTTCCTATAAATGCACAATATTAGGCATTTGTGAACAAGAGGAAACATGCTGTTTCACACCTCTGCCTTGAGAGCTGGATTGTTCATGCTCCATTTCTCTCTGGCTGAAGCATGGTGTTCTTACGTACACGAGACATTTACAGCAGCTGAACAGCCTACTTTGTGCAGTAAAGGACAGGCAGGAGGGCAGAGATAGTGTTCCATGTACAAAAGAGAGGATGAGAAGGGCAAAGAATAGTTCTGTTTTTCTCTCCAGTGTTGTCAGGGAAAGGCTGGTGAGGATCACTAACAGGCTATTACGGATGGGTCATGTGAGCGTGAAATAATGGCTAAATGAGGTCTCTGACATTAGCAAGTGGAGATGTGAGTTTTAAGCAGTCTACCTCACTGCTGTAGAATTTGCTTGGTTTTATTCAAGGACTCCATTATCAGAATGTTTACTAGGCAAAACAAAATCAAAGCCTACTATTTAAAGCCCAGATGAAATTATTTAAAATTAAACATGTACTAGATAAGGTTGCGGAGTGTCCTAGTAGTTCTGTGCTCTCTCTGCACTGCTTTGTTTTTCCAGAAGTCTCCAGCACCTTGCTGAAGAGCAGTAGTATATTTGCCTAACTATGCCTGGAAAAAAAATATCTAGACTCCACTGCCTAAATGAGAAGAGGTATGTTAAGATGTGAGATCCCT